CTTTAGCATATGAATGCTACATAGTGCATGGTATCACTATTCATATGCTGCCGTTCAGCCTCAATACATTGAATGTGATTAATGCTTCATATTTCTTTAAGGCTGTGTGGACATCTCACAGCAAATGTTATGTTACTTTTGTGTGTTCTTGTGATGCCCGTAGCACCTCCTTCTGATGCCTGTCACTTGCTGATATACACAGAGATGGGGCCGCAAAGTTTGTTAAAGTGACTAAGCTTATTTGTACTGTTTTAGGCTCTATCTGTCCCTGCGCAGAGACTTATCATAACCTAGGCAGAGTGGCAGAATAAGTGCTTTTAGTGCAACTTTACAAGGATATTCACTGCAGTGTGAATTGTTAGAAATAAACATTAATTTTAAATTTGAGGCCACAAAAGCAGAATTGGAGAAAGGTCTGATTGCACCATTTTGTCCAAAAAAAAAAGACATTTACATTCAATTCCCAACAATTTACACTTTTGTGAATAATCGTGTAGGTATGGGGGCAATAGTTTGTTGAAGACGTTGCTGGGATGTGATAATGGGATGGAATACTTTGGGGCTTATTCACTAAACTGTTGAAAATTGAAAATAAGGACTGAAAATTCTAGGCTGATAAAACTATTTTTTTAGCATGGCTTTATTGGACTAAAACTTGCAATTTCGTTGTCAGTTCTTTACAATTCTCAGTTTGGGGAAAAATCTTCTCAGGGGTGTAATCACGTTCAGCAGTCGTGGTGGCAGTCAATGTTCGTGTAAGGGGGTTATTTATTAAACTGTGTATTACAGTGAATTCAAAACTGTATGGCAACATTTAGGTTGTTTAAAACTGTTTATCTTTAAACAAAATATATATCAAATCATATGTTTCCATATTGCTTAATCACATGAATAATTCCTAAATAATTGATTTTCTTCTATTCTATATACATTAGGGCAGCACTTTTTGTGTCCTGCCCAACATCACTAGTATGTAATTCTGAGCAAAGTACTGAGAGTGGAATAATTAACAGGAACATTCTATTGGTTTCCATGGCGATTGCTCCAGTTTTTGAAAATTGCACCATAGACGAATTAAGAACCGTGATAGAGCGCACTCGGAGGACTAGGTAAATTGATTTAACCCCTTAAGGACACATGACATGTCATGATTCCCTTTTATTCCAGAAGTTTGGTCCTTAAGGGGTTAAAATGATTCTGCTTAATTGACAGTTATAGCCTATAGGCAGGTCGGCTGGAGTTATACAGCAGTTACACAAATAAAAACCGAAAGACCAGGATACAGTGCTAGGTTCAACAAATTATATTTAAAAAAGAAAAAAAACATTTTATATATTTCTTCATATATGTTGTGTTTGTGTGTGTGTGTTTAGAAAAAGTCTGTTTTCAATCTTTCAGTCAACCAATAAGAGTTCATATTTTGGTTTGAAATTGTGTGGAGGATTACTATTGGCCAGTTTGAATTGCACTCCTTTTTCTGATTGGATGCCTGCGAACTCTGTTCCCAAAATGTTATCAATATGACACAGCTGACGATAGGGTGTTCCCTGCTTGGTCTGGCTGCAGTGTCAGTAATTTGCAGCTCTGTATTTGGCATACAAACAAGTGGGCTTATTCACTAAACCTTTAATTGGTGAGGCACAGAATGTTTAAGTTAAAATGGTCTGGGCAAGCAGCTTCAACGTTTGATTACATCTTTTGCTAAAAAATTAGAATTTTCCTGGCTAATTCTACACAGTTAATTGGTTTCAAATTTGAAGTAGGTTTTTTTTTAATGAAATTTTTTTTTTTTTTTTCATTACATGCAAGGGCCTTTTTTTAAAGGGACACTATAGTCACACAGACCACTTCATCTCATTAAAGTGGTCTGGGTGCAGTGTCCCTGCCCCACTCAGTCCTGCAATGTAAAAAATTGCAGTTGTAGAGAAACTACAATAATTACATTGCAGGACTAAGACTGCCTCTAGTGGCTGTCTTCTATCTTCTAAAATCCACTAGAGGCACTTTGGGGATTTTATTAAACTTTAGGTCGCCTAATTGATGCTGGAAGTCCTCAAACTCTGCATGAGGACACAGGGCTGCCATCAGATATTTTGGGGGTGCAGATTGTACATTTATGTAATGTATGTGTGTATTAGATGGAGAGTGTATGTTTGTGTAGTGGTTGTAGTGTGTTTTGTGACTGCAGAGTGTGTTTGCATAATGATGTAGTGTCTGTATAGTGACTGCAGTGTGTGTTTATGTAGTGGATGTAGTGTGTGTAGTGACTGCAGTGTGTGTAGTCACTGTAGAGTGTGTGTTTGTGTAAGGTTGTAGTGTGTGTAGTGACTGCAGAGTGTGATTGTGTAAGGATGTAGTGTGTGTGTTTGTGTAATGGTTGTAGTGTGTGTAAATGTTGTAGTATAATGATATGTGTGTGTAAATGTATGGGGATGCATACAGTATTTTTTGTTTTTTTCCATTAATTCAATACATTTTATCTTAGCCCCCCCCTTACCTGTGGCCAAGGAGGGGGGAGATCACATTCCCTGATGGTCAGGTGGCATGTTGCACCTGTACACTGCATGGGACCCAGCACACTCCATCTCCACTTTTCTCTGTGTAACTCTTGCGAGCCATGTGGAGCGTTGCCATGGTAATCTGTGGCAACGCTCTGACGACCGCGCCGCTAATGAGATTTAAAGAAGAGCAGAGCAGTTGGGAAGTGGAGATGGAATATGCAGAGTACAGGTACCCGGGGGCCCAAAGATGCACATATACAGCAGTAATCGAGATATATATACACATAGATAATGTGGGCCCGGGATTCCCTGAGCAGTCCAGGCCCATGACAACCATCATGGTTGTCATGCCCTGATGGTGGCCCTGTGAATACATCCAGCGTCAGTTAAATCCCCACAGGAAAGCATTGTATAGGAACACATAGAAACACATGGCAGGGGCCTTTACAGTGTTAAGAATACAGCTTTGTATTCCAAACACCATAGGTTCCCTTTAATAGGAACATTATTCCACATGCAAAAATATCTTTTTGTTTTTCATAAATGTTACGACATTTATCATTAACCATTTATAGTTACACCGTTTGACCTCTGTAATGTCCCAAATGCACAAACATATTTTTCCATCTAAACATATAGCACTTATTTTATCTCTTTATTGCAACTAATATCTCCCTATAACTACCTCTATCACTCTAACTGTAGATTTATAAAGCTTGTAGACAATGCAGGTTCTGCCTTTTTGCACTTAGATATAATCTCTTCATATACCCTCGTCCTACTCCCTATAACTCCTCCTATTACTCCATATAACCTCTCTCTATAACTCCTCCTATTACTCCATATAATTTCTCTATAACTCCTCCTATTACTCCATATAACCTCTCCCTATAACTCCTCCTATTACTCCATTTAACCTTTCTCTATAACTCCTCCTATTACTCCATTTAACCTCTCTCTATAACTCCTATTACTCCATATAACCTCTCTCTATAACTCATCCTATTACTCCATATAACCTCTCCCTATAACTCCTCCTATTACTCCGTATAACCTCTCTCTATAACTCCTCCTATTACTCCATATAACCTCTCTCTATAACTCCTCCTATTACTCCATATAACCTCTCTCTATAACTCCTCCTACTACTCCATATAACCTCTCCCTATAACTCCTCCTGTTACTCCATATAACCTCTCCATATAACTCCTCCTATTATTCCATATAACCTCTCCCTATAACTCCTCCTATTCTTCCATATAACCTCCCTCTATAACTCCTCCTATTACTCCATATAACCTCTCCCTATAACTCCTCCTATTACTCCATATAACCTCTCTCTATAACTTCTCCTATTACTCCATATAACCTCTCCCTATAACTCCTCCTATTACTCCATATAACCTCCCTATAACTCCTCCTATTACTCCATATAACCTCTCTCTATATGTCCTCCTATTACTCCATATAACCTCTCCATATAACTCCTCCTATTACTCCATATAACCTCCCTCTATAACTCCTCCTATTACTCCATATAACCTCTCCCTATAACTCCTATTACTCCATATAACCTCTCTCTATAACTCCTCCTATTACTCCATATAACCTCTCCCTATAACTCCTACTATTACTCCATATAACCTCCCTATAACTCCTCCTATTACTCCATATAACCTCTCTCTATAACTCCTCCCTTCACTCCATTTAACCTCTCCCTGTACCTCCTATTATTCCATATTACTTCATATAACCTCTCTATATAAGTCCTTCTAATACTCCTTACAGCCATTTTTAACAGTGTTAACATTACCATACATTCCCATTAAGTAGTGCTAGATTAATATCACTGAAACACTGTACTGGGATTCTTTTTTAACATGTATACATTGTGTTTAGAATTTTTATATGGGGATAAACAATGTTCTTTCTATTAAGCTCCTCATTGCATTACCTGTAACTATAAACCATTGTAACTACATTATCTCTTCCTGCGTCCTCTGTTGTCATGAGACTTTTTTTTTTTTAAACAATAGGACCCGATCACCTATATTACGTGCAAAATATATTGTTTTGTTATCATCAAACATGTTTTATATATTATTTAACATTTTCTATTCACTCCCTGTGTTTATAATGATTGTATAATTATTTCTTACAAGCTTATATGATGGTTATAGAAATCTTATATTTTAGATTGGGGAGGGGGGAGGATTACAACTATTCTAGTTCTTATAATATATATTTTGCTTTAAATATCTGATTTTTAGTTTTTTTTTTGTCGTTTTCATCATTTGTTTATTGCAAGAACCATTCAGATGCCAATATCTTCACCTATTTTAACGCTGTATGTACTATTAAACATATTTTGTGAGAATTCTTTTTTGTAGCCTCCTTTGGTCACATGACCCAATCTTTCTAACCTCAGCTGCCTCCCCCCCCCCACCACACACACCCTCCCAACCCTCTCTCCTCCCCCCCCTACACACAATGGTCCTCCTTCTCCTCCCCCCATGCTCTCTCTGGGTGGGTGACGTCACTAGCAGTGTCTCCTGTTCAGTACCAGGGACAGCAGCCTTTACCATCATTATTCTGCTGCTATAGGGTCCTTATTGCTACCCCCTCAAAGAAGGGAGGCTCAGTGACTGAGGGCTGATACAGACACATAGAAGATAGAAGCATTAGCCTGTATGCCTGCAGGTGGACTGGTCCTGTCTTTTGGGGAGGGGGAGCCTGGATATTTTGCTGTGGATGGGACCAAGCTTCATGCAGTCGGCCATGGCTCTGGCATTGCCAAGTAAAAAGTCATCCTCGAGAAACATTGCAGTGGAGAGGAAGAATCTACTGACTGTTTGCAGGTCAGCTCTGGGGGGGTAGAAGGAAAGGGGGTGGAAAGGTTCCATTCTAGAATGACAATGGAATACAATGTATATAGCATGGACATAGAGCTGGGGTGAGGCTCAGAGGGACACTGGGAGCTCATGGAAATAGACTGATGGGAAGAAAGGCTTCAGATCCATTCCTCAGAGAGGTGTTAGAGAAATGGGTGTCTACCTCCTCTAGAATAAATGGCTGGAGGTCCTCAGGGCAAACAGAAAGAAAAAGACAAGCTTGTAATGGGATGGTTAGGCTTGTCAAGGGATGATGGCTTAAAATAAGGTTATGAGAGGTAGAATGATTTTTGAGAGCAAGATGTCTCAGGACATATAAAGCAGGCATATCTACAAGGGGTTAATGTAATTGGGTAGAGGAGAGGAGGAAGTTAACATGCCAGAGAGTGACATTTTTTTATGGGGGGTGGAGGATGTCACTGATGGCATTCTGTAAGAGAAAACTGAATGGGAATTCTGGTCATAGGGGGTGATGACAGGAAGTGAGATCACAGCTGGCCATGTGATGTCATAACCTGAATTAAAGAAGGAGGCCAAGGACACATTGGGAGTGCATATCATAGTCTATACACACACAATGTCAACTGAATATACATTGTCTAAGTATGTTTAATAGGCGATTGTACATATTAATACCCCCTCTCTGTCTCTTCATTTCTCTCATGCTAACTCAACCTCTCCTTCTATAATGGCTTTTCTATCTGGTTGATTAGTACTCAGTCTGCCACTCCTATATAATAATATAAATATTTGTTTAGTAAAATTGCTGATTTGAAAATGTTTAATCTCTATTTATACCTAGTTTATTCTTATTTTTCATCTATTGTCATTTTATAGTTATTAATATCTGTCTAGCTAAGCTATCAACCATCTACCCTTTATCCGATTTCCAATCTCTTTACCTCTCTCACCTACCCCATATATTTTTTTTAATAAAAGTGAGATTATGCTTCTCTCTCAATTTCCTTTACCAGCACCCCTTTTTTAATCAAAAATGATTTCCCAGTATAAAATACTATTATACTATATACCATAACAGTATATATCTCTTTCTTTAACAAGCTTGCGATTTTCATCTTTCCTTTTCTTCCTGATTATTCCTCCTCTTTTTTTCGGCAGATATATAATATTCATAATTTTCTATTTACATTTGACTTCACCATCCTACCTGCTAATATATAATATGTATAAAAATATGCTTGTTTGCTTGTTCACGTGTCCTCATCCTGTTGCTTGCCCATCTCCTTCTAATCACATTCTATATATTGATATTCTGTAACTCTCAAAGATCTGTCAGATGTTCGAATGTCTCTCTATGAGCACTCACTAACCCTTATCTGACTTCTCCTTTCTCACACTCAAGCCCACCTACTTGAGTGTGACTGCCTGGATGCCCCATTGCTACCGGTGAAGTCCACATACTCCGACCCCTACCTCATGCCCATTTTCTCTCTCTGTACCCACCCACTTGCACTGCCACATTCCTCATAGTCATGCCCCATCACTCCTATTCCTTTGCTCGACTTTGTCATTCACACCTGCCCACTCACTCTTTACTCCCTTTCCTCTGCCTGACTCATCAATTTATTTTCACACTCATTGAACTACCTTTACTTAATTACGTTGCTATATTTTTCCTTAGTTTTTGGCCCTGCCAGATGCTTCTCTTGAATAAGAAAAAAAAAACAAAAGACAATGAACAGTCATCTATTTCTTTATTTCTTAACTCTTAATCATTCCGAGACCCATCCTCAAGACCCACCAGAGGTCCAGGTTTTAGTAATGTCTATGTTTGAAATAACTTGAAAATTCCTAAACCTTGTACTCTAAGATAGAAACATAGAATGTGACGGCAAATAAGAACCATTCGGTCCAATTTTCTAAATACTTTCATTAGTCCCTGGCCTTATCTTATAGTTATCCCACGCATGCTTAAACTCCTTTAATGTGCTAACCTCTTCCACTTCAGCTCGAAGGCTATTTCATGAGTCTTACCTTCTCAGTAAAGTAATACTTCTTGATATTATTTGTAAACCTTTGTCCCTCTAATTTAAGACTATGTCCTCTTGTTGAGGTAGTTTTTCTTCTTTTAAATATAGTCTCCTCCTTTACTGTGCTGATTCCCTTTATGTATTTAAATGTTTCTATCATATCCCCCCCCCGTCTCATCTTTCCTCCAAGCTATACATGTTAAGATACTTTAACCTTTCCTGGTAAGTTTTATCCCGCAATCCATTAACCAGTTTAGTAGCCCTTCCCTGAACTCTCTCTAAAGTATCAATACCCTTGATACTTTAGTTGTTCTACACCATGGGTAGTCAGGTTCGGTACTCCAGTTATTCCACATCTCCCATAATGCTTTGTCAGTGTTGTGTCTGTAAGAATGGGAGATGTAGTACAAATATCTGAAGTTCCAAAGGTTGATTATGTCTGTTCTACACCAACAGCTGGCTCTGTAGCTGAGTTACCAACCTTTCACACTCCTCAAATATTAAACTATTTAAATCTTTGTGTCCTCACCAGTCTCAAAAACCATTACCTCATGCTCATCTACTTGACTGACAAAACGCATTCAAGCTCTTCATCCACGTGCAGAAGCTTAGTAGGAAGGTCCATCTTTATTGCCTATCTCTCATCCCTTTGTCCTACTGCCCCATACTTTATTTTATAGCCACATCTTTTGTCACCATCCATGTTCACTTTCTGCACCCCTATAACTTTTCTTTGTGGCTTCCTTGTCGTCTTTAACCCAGGTTTTCTGTGAAGACACTCCTAGAGAAATACACGGCTGAGCCTATTGACGATTCATCAGAAGAATTTGTGAATTTCGCTGCAATTCTTGAGCATATTCTTAGCCACCGTTTCAAAGGTGAAAAAGACAGGAGGGAAGAGATTTGTAGAGATAAGGGATGGATAGCTGAGCAAAACAGGAGAAGGGACAAGAAGAGAGTTATTTGAGTTGAAAGAAAAAAACCAAGGGGAGAGATGGGAACCACATTGGAGGGATGATTGGGAGAGAGAATAGAAGGAAGATAAAGTGAAGGAGGAGAGTGAGAAGGGAAATAAATAAATGAATAGGGATGGAATTAGAGATGGATGATGAGAAAAAGTGAAATGGATAATAGGGGAAGGGAGGAAAACAAGGGAAAAATATGGAATGGAATTTTAAACAGAGGGTAGTCGAGAGAAGGAAATAAGAACGTATGGGATAAAGATCAGAGAGGCATGGAGACAGAAGGTAGTAGAAAGTATGGGGGAAAAAAATCGGAGCTGTGTGACATATATTGTAATTTAGTAGATCCACAGGATATAATGGAGCAGAGTCATAGACTCCTTGCTCTTGTGAGCTTTAATCACTAAAGGTACACTCCACTACCCAAATAAAACAATAAATACATATAACAATTTAGTAGATATATCCTAATAAAAAATGCAGGCATTTATCTATGCATATTTTAATTAGGGGTATATCTAAAATCTACTTGTAAAAGCTGCAGTTCTCCTGTCTGCAGCGTTTGAAAGCCTTCCCATTCTAACCCCGACCAGACTCTCTATGGCTGTTCAATCACAGACTTCACAATGAGAAGTCTCTGCAAGGCAGGTGCTCTGGGTAATTGCCACCTCTTAAGTTTAGCTAAACTGATCTAAACAAAACCAAACAAAAAACAGGAAGTAAAAGGACATGTCTGATTGACAGCCAGAGGGGGTGTAACCATTTTAATTTATATTTCTATTGAAATCTGCACATTCTGTAAAATGAAAAGTACTCCAGCAAGCTAAAGTGTTTTAGGGGCCATTAATGCATTATGATAAATGGAAACCAATCTTTCGCTTCTCTTTTCTCTCCCCTTTTGCTTGCAATCTGTAATGCTGCTTCTAATTTGTTAAGTTGTGTTATATATGATTATCTTTCCCCTACAAACTCTTTTTAAAGTTTACTCTGTCAATGTGAAATCTCTCCATTTTCTGCCAATGTTGTTTTCTCTTTTTCTGTCAGTGTGGTTTGTCTCTTGTCTCACTCTATCTCTGTGTCTCCTTTGTCTGCTCATGCTAACTCTCGCTGTCTTGGTCTAATTTCTGTCTCTTCGTGCAGTGTCGCTCTCTCTTCTGTCTCTCGCGGCTGTATTTCTGACCTTTTCCCCACGCTGCTATCTCTTGACTCTCTACAAATTATTTCTTTGTCAGGGCTGTCTGTCTAATGCCTCCAGTCTCCTGCGTTGCTCTCACTATACTCTGTCCATGTTGTCTCTGTCACTGTTGTTAAATTCAGAATCATTCTTTCTTTCTCACACATTTACATTGTATACTCATTCTTCCTTTACTTTCTGGCCGTGCAGGTAATCTAGTGACCAACACCATCTCACTACTTTCTTTCCATACTGTCTTTCTGGCTGCTCTATATCCGTGCTGTCTCTCTGGCAGCTTTCTGTCCGTGCTGTCTCTCTGGCAGCTTTCTGTCTGTGCTGTCTCTCTGGCAGCTTTCTGTCCATGCTGTCTCTCTGGCTGCTCTCTAACCGTGCTGTCTCTCTGGCTGCTCTCTATCCATGCTGTCTCTCTGGTTGCTTTCTGTCCGTGCTGTCTCTCTGGCAGCTTTCTGTCTGTGCTGTCTCTCTGGCTGCTTTCTGTCCGTGCTGTCTCTCTGGCTGCTCTCTATCCGTGCTGTCTCTCTGGCTGCTCTCTATCCATGCTGTATCTCTGGCTGCTCTCTATCCATGCTGTCTCTCTGGCAGCTTTCTGTCCATTGTGTCTCTCTGGTTTTTTTGTTGTTGTCCATGCTGCCTCTTTGACTGCTCTCTAGGCTATCTCTTGCTACATTTTAATAGAAATACTTGGGAAGTGGAGCGCTGGACAGGTGGCAGAGATCAAACAAAAGGGTATATATAATAGGAGACCTAACAACATATTAACAATAAATACACAATAATATTACAAATACCCTAAATCTCTGACTTAAATGTCTTAAAGTATAGTGCTACTTTTGAAATTATCTGTATAGAATATTCAAGCAATCATGTACTATAATTAACATGAGAACTAATAAACATATCAGCTGCAGCAGACTAATTAATAAACAGTCCAGTAGTGACTGTGCAAATTCCTTGAATCAAATATTCCTTTGGATAATGGTACTCCGTAGTAGAAGTAGGTATATGTGGAAACACAGAGAAAAAGAAGCAGTTAGTTGGTTAATCTTAGTATCGGCAGAAATTCATGAAATGCAGTCCAGATTGCAAGAAATAAAATTGGCTTTATTAGAATCTTGGCACTTAAGCTAAAAATCAATATAAAAATCTCACAGTAAAAATTCAAATAAAATACTGCGTGTGCAGACCTCATAAACGAGTGTTTGTAGACTGGTTCACAAAATGCATACTGGGTGCCGACCTTTAGTGCTCACGGCGTCCCGGATCAGCAGTTTAGATGTTGTATAGCTGAATGCAGTAAAGGCAGATGCGTCCTAGATGCTGGCTTTTAGTGATCAGCAGTCAGTCCCTCCAAACGCGTTTCTACTACAGTCACTACTGGACTGTTTATTAATTAGTCTGCTGCAGCTTATATGTCTATTATTTCTCATGTTAATTATAGTACATGATTGCTTGAATATTCTATACAGATAATTTCAAAAGTAGCACTATACTTTAAGGCATTTAAGTCAGAGATTTAGGGTATTTGTGATATTATTGTGTATATCTTGCTACATTTTGCCTATTCTGTCTCTCTGGCTGGTTTCAGTTCATGCTGTCTCTCTGGTTGGTTTCAGTTCATGCTGTCTCTCTGGTTGGTTTCAGTTCATGCTGTCTCTCTGGCTGGTTTCAGTTCATGCTGTCTCTCTGGCTGGTTTCAGTTCATGCTGTCTCTCTGGCTGGTTTCAGTTCATGCTGTCTCTCTGGTTGGTTTCAGTTCATGCTGTCTCTCTGGTTGGTTTCAGTTCATGCTGTCTCTCTGGCTGGTTTCAGTTCATGCTGTCTCTCTGGCTGGTTTCAGTTCATGCTGTCTCTCTGGTTGGTTTCAGTACATGCTGTCTCTCTGGCTGGTTTCAGTTCATGCTGTCTCTCTGGTTTCAGTTCATGCTGTCTCTCTGGTTGGTTTCACTTCATGCTGTCTCTCTGGCTGGTTTCAGTTCATGCTGTCTCTCTGGTTTCAGTTCATGCTGTCTCTCTGGCTGGTTTCAGTTCATGCTGTCTCTCTGGTTGGTTTCAGTACATGCTGTCTCTCTGGCTGGTTTCACTTCATGCTGTCTCTCTGGTTGGTTTCACTTCATGCTGTCTCTCTGGTTGGTTTCAGTTCATGCTGTCTCTCTGGTTGGTTTCAGTTCATGCTGTCTCTCTGGTTGGTTTCAGTCCATGCTGTCTCTCTGGTTGGTTTCAGTACATGCTGTCTCTCTGGCTGGTTTCAGTTCATGCTGTCTCTCTGGTTTCAGTTCATGCTGTCTCTCTGGTTGGTTTCACTTCATGCTGTCTCTCTGGCTGGTTTCAGTTCATGCTGTCTCTCTGGTTTCAGTTCATGCTGTCTCTCTGGCTGGTTTCAGTTCATGCTGTCTCTCTGGTTGGTTTCAGTTCATGCTGTCTCTCTGGCTGGTTTCAGTTCATGCTGTCTCTCTGGTTGGTTTCAGTTCATGCTGTCTCTCTGGTTGGTTTCAGTTCATGCTGTCTCTCTGGCTGGTTTCAGTTCATGCTGTCTCTCTGGCTGGTTTCAGTTCATGCTGTCTCTCTGGTTGGTTTCAGTCCATGCTGTCTCTCTGGTTGGTTTCAGTCCATGCTGTCTCTCTGGTTGGTTTCAGTTCATGCTGTCTCTCTGGCTGGTTTCAGTCCATGCTGTCTCTCTGGCTGGTTTCAGTCCATGCTGTCTCTCTGGCTGGTTTCAGTTCATGCTGTCTCTCTGGCTGGTTTCAGTTCACGCTGTCTCTCTGGTTGGTTTCACTTCATGCTGTCTCTCTGGTTGGTTTCAGTCCATGCTGTCTCTCTGGCTGGTTTCACTTCATGCTGTCTTTTGCTGTGTTTTGTCCATTTTGTCTCTATGTTTGCATCCTGACCATGCTGTCTCTTTGACTGCATTCTATTCATGCTCTCTCTCTTTGACTGCTGTCTCTCCGGGCAGTTTGTCTCTTATTGCTATCGCTGTATGCTGTCTATCTCTGGTTTGTCTCTTCTTCCATGCCTTCTCCCTGCCCTCTGACATCCATCCTGTATTTGAATAATATTCCACATCTCTGTGATTTGTTTTTTTAAATCCATATTTTCCTATTACCCTACACTTGTCTAATTGCTCTAAAAATCCAATATTTTTTTTCTCTCTCTCGATGTATGATTTGCATTGTCTTTCTTCCTTTGTGCTCGCAGGTCATGTCAGCTGGTTCAGCTCCGATGGTCAGAGAGGATTCTGGGATTATATCCGAATCGCTTGTAGCAAAGTCCCCAACAATTGTATCAGCAGCATTGAAAACATGGAAAACATCAGCACAGCCCGGGCAAAGGTACGAGGTTGGGCTGTTATTGTCTAGTGTATTTTGTGTCACTGGTTGTACGTTGTGTAGCAAGGCCTTTTTATTGTTTTGCGTATTGTATTCTATTGCATACCTTGTCATTTGGCTTATTTCGTTAAGTAATTACACTTGATGGACAGGCTCTGTTCAACCGTGGCTTTGTGTTGTAGGGTCGGGCCTGGCTGCGTCTCGCTCTTATGGAGAAACGATTGTCAGAATACATTGTGACAGCTCTCAGAGACACACGAACCACAAGGCAAGGAATGGAAGAGATATCTATTAACCCTTTGAGGTTGGAGATGCACAAAGGGTTATCATTGAACACTACTAGCTATCTCTTGTATTTTTCTGACTTCCATATTTTTTATTTACCCATCCCTTTATACACAAGCAGTGTTCTCCCCCTTTCGTTGGACATGCTTCTTACTTCCATTCTCTGTCCCCGTTCCCCAGGAGATTTTATGACGATGGTGCAATCTTGCTGCGAGAAGAATCCTCAGTACTCACCGGTATGCTAATAGGCTTGAGTGCCATCGACTTCAGGTGAGGAGAGGTAACGTCCCCCTCCTACCCTTCAAGCTTCCTTGCTACTTCCCTTTCCTGTCCTCAAACATTGTATCTTTCTTACCTTCTCTCCAATGTCCACAATCTCACCATCTGCATCGTCTCCTCTATCTTCAGTGCTCACCACTTCACAATTTACTTTTTCACACCATCCTTTTCACGTGTATCTTTTTGACCCAACGAGTATCCAAGAGCCTCACTCTCTCTCACTTGGAGCTTAGCCCCATGCCCATTCCAAGCACTCGTTTCTCTTATCCCTTCCCACCAGAACTTTAAGGCCAAATTTATCATGTCAAAACAGGTACGAATCTTGAGCAATGTTGAGAGAAATTCCCATTTTGCCTTGTTAACTCTCCCCTTAGTGTTCCTTCCAGCACACACATTGTGATTTCATACACAAAACAAGTCACTCTCCCATTCCAGTTCTTATGAGCTGGACCAGTTCTGGGAAATCTCATTACCTCCTGTCCTAATACTCTGTAAGTGAATGAGTAATACCATCCAGACTTATATCTAAGAGCCCATTAACAATATGGAGCGATCTGCCAAGAGTGGTGACTACAATTCACCAGGACTTTATTTTTTTATTCTTAACTTTTTTAAACTTTTTTTCTTTTTTGCCATTGTAGAGTTACAGGTCAGCTATAAAAGTTTGGAAGCCATCAAAAAAAAAAAATATTACGGTCGAGTTTAATATTTCGTAGTAATCTCTCATAAAATGTTCATTTCCCATAAATACTTTACTATATTTATATCATCCATTGAAGGGGGGTGGGTGAGGGGGGGTCTCCTCTCTCCGTCAGCCATGTCCTTTGTTCTGTCCTCCCCACATCATTACCATCCTGTCCCATACATCTCCCTCTCTGTGAATCTCCAGACCCTTGGATTTGATCCATGCATACATTACTCTCTTACAGCTTTTGCCTTAAAGGAGAAGGCATTGATGGCAAAACTCCAGCAGTCATAGATTACACTCCCTACCTTAAGTTTACACAAAGGTGAGTTTTTTTTAATGCAAAGTGATAACAGGATTAATACGTGAGCTTGTAAATTGATTTAGATGGAGTAGATTCTAATATTTCTCACTAGTCATGTTTTTTTTTGTTTTTTTTAAATATATCTCTGGGGTAATTTTTGCCTATTTGTAGTTATTAGATTAAGCAGCAGATTGGAGTGTAGATACATTAAAGTGATACTTAACCCCTAATGACACATGACATGACGGCTGGCTTTTTACTTCTGAAGCTGTGTCCTTAAGGGGGTCAATTTATGTTCCAAACTGATGTTCTGCTTTTTTTCATCAGCTATGATTACTTGAGCGAGGAGGAGGACAGGGAGAGCGTGGGGGGGAGTAGCAGTGAAGACAGTTCACCGGAACGTCCTTACCTGCCCCTTCTTACTGACGAGGAGAGTTGGTACAGCAAGTGGCGCAAAATGGAGCAGAAATTTCGCATTGTCTATGCACAGAAGGTATGAATAAATTATGGTACTTTGTATCTCCAGTAATTGTTTGATTTGACTTGTACGACCAGAGTAATCCAGATCTCTCCCATGTTCTTTTTATGGATTCGGTTAATTCCAGGATAGAATAATTCATCAAATTATAATTTAACATATTCAGGGTCATTCACTAAGGTGAGAGACAATAAAGTGAATTTCGATATCTGCAGCTGACTTAGAATTGGAACCTTGATATCACGATCATGTAGTAAATGTATCGGCATTATATTATCCTCCTTTGCAGTGCTATAAATATCGTTCTCCGTGGAAAAGGAATGAATGATACGATGCAAAGACTAGGACTTTAACTATAAATATGAACAGCCAGAGAATCCAAGAATAAGTCATAATATAAATTATAAATATTGAGTAATCTAGAGAGTAGAAGTGAACCTTTGGCCAATGTGCTTAGAGGGAGACGAGATGTCAAATCTATTTATCTGATCTGTTTGTCGGGCTCTTTATTGGTCTATCGAGCATAAACAATGCCAGCCCAGCTTTTGGAAACTGTTAGGAGAAGAAAAGAAATAAAAGAGAGAGACAAACAGCAGGATGCTTATGGAAACTATAGGGGGATGGAAAACAGATGCGGACAGTTGGAGAGATCCAAGGTGTAAATGGCTGAAATGAAAGGGTAGGAAAGTAAGAGTAATGGAATAAGAGGTTATTGCTGATTGTAGTGCGCAGAGTGATGTCTTAAATTTCTTCTAAAACGTGGGATGGTCCTCGGTTGTTCTGTTGTCTAGAGGGAGAGCACTCCAAAGTTACAACCTTTGTACAGATGGTGATCAGCCTTCTCTCTTTGCCTTCTTAAATCACTTGACCTGGACACATGCTTCTGTGGTGCACCTAAGGCGATGAGATGGGATATTAAATGTATGGCTATCCTGCAGGAAGTTTGGAGGAAAGACGAGACAGGGGGGATATGATAGAAACATTTAAATACATAAAGGGAATCAACACAGTAAAGGAGGAGACTATATTTAAAAGAAGAAAAACTACCACAACAAGAGGACATAGTCTTAAATTAGAGGGGCAAAGGTTTAAAAATAATATCAGGAAGTATTACTTTACTGAGAGGGTAGTGGATGCATGGAATAGCCTTCAGCTGAAGTTGTAGAGGTTAACACAGTAAAGGAGTTTAAGCATGCGTGGGATATGCATAAGGCTATCCTAGATATAAGATAAGGCTGTCCTTTCACTAGTCCCTGTGGACTAGTGAAAGTATTTTTTAAAAAATTGGGCAGACTAGATGGGCCGAATGGTTCTTATCTGCTGTGAAATTCTATGTTTCTATGATATTGTGGTTTGTGATGGAGGAGTGCTCTGTGGCCCACAATGAGGAGTTTAGAGGATGCATGTTTAGATAGAGCTAATGTAATTGCTTGCGTTCACCCGAGATGCAGTCACATGCCTGTTTACCTGTAGGGGTGAGAAAAGTTTGTCTGTCATACCTACATACAGAGCATTGTTGGGATCTAGGCTTGACAATACAAGCAATGCTGTGACTGCTTTGGGGTAAGCTAATGTGTTATCCAGCAAATCATCCCCCGTGTAGACTTAGTATTTGCTTCTATGTATGTTTTAAGTGAATTGTAGCTGTTGAATATTAATTCAAGGCGTTTAACCTGTTGGGAAGGTGGTGTGGGAGAGATGTTAAAAGGTTTCTGTACTGCTAATCTAGTTTTGTTGAAGGCGACTGTAAATGAACTTTGATCATACATTTTATATTCTACTTTTATTGATTTGATTCATGCACTACCCTTTGGGCTTAGCACTCATTTTAATCTTTTACTGTAGCACATCATAAAACATTTATAATTTGACTTCCGAATAGTGACCCAGCCAGTTTGGTTCTTAAAAATATATTCAGTTTTACAGTAGGTCATGCAGTCACCTATAAAAGTCATTAACAGCCATTCCTCTGGCCACATCCCCTAAATTGAATTTGAAATGTTGGGATGTAGGCAGACTGGTTCCATCCAAAGTTCAGGTCTGAATTGCCAGACAAGTTTCAATTCTCTTTTAATTTTGTTAGAAGACTTGACCTTGATTGACATTGGTGCCTTAGAGCAATCTGTGATCTACTGGAATCCATTATGTAGCCAGTCAGACATATAGCCATGTTATGATACTCTCTCATTTACCAAAATAACTATACATAGGACATGCACAATTCTATTAGGCCATTATTCCATAAAACATTGCGGTGGCACCACTAATGGTACAGGATTTATGGGTGTTCCAGTGGAGATAATAATAAAATTCGAGCCCTTGGAAGTGTATGAGGACTGGTTTTGATCTTAACTGAGAGAATATTTAAATGTCCACTGTATACCTTGTCACCAGCTGGTATCCGTGTTTCAGCTGGTGTCAATCATAGATTCTGTGATTTACTGGTGGACCTGGTGTTAAAACATCTAACTTAAAAAAACTTGGGAGATGGGAGTTGTAGGTCAAAAAGATCTGAGAATGGTGGGCATTGTTTGACCTCCATAAACACTGTTTTTTTTTAATTGTCTGAAATATATGGAGGCATTCTGGGAGTGAGACTCTGTAACTGATAACACCTTGATTGGTAACTTTAAAAGGATGTACACAAAATACGAGGAGAAAACAGAACCAGGATGAAGAAAAATATGTGTTCCTTATATGGGGGAAGGTTATATACTTTTGGCCGAGAAGGCACGTAAAATTGAGTGAGTGTACCAGCCCATCGCAAAGCTCAGTCTTTCTCAATCTTTTATAATTTATATACATATTGTTGTAACTATGAGTAGAGAATAATGTAATACTGTTTTACATATCTGTTTTTAAAGTATGTGCAAATTGACCTCTCTTGTTTTCAGTCCATTTAACTCCCATGTAGACTTCATGGTCCTTTTCTGCCCAACGATCTATGCACCTCTAGTCTCTTTGTTCTATTCTCAGTGGGAAACTATTTTCAGCTAACACAGTTTAAGTTTAATTGTATAATACAGGATTAAATAATCTCGTAGCAGTTGGTCGGTAGAGCTATTGATTTGAATCTGTGCTTGTTATCCTTCAACATAGACCTGGTTGGAGATTTATTCATCATCTGTATAACTATCTCAGTTGAATTGAAATGTATTATAGAAAAAAAAACAAAAAAAAACTAATTCTGAAAACTCCCTGAATTAGAGACTTTCCAGCGACACATGGGATTTGACTACACTGGGGAGGCAATGTTGCTATAGTAACCAATCTACTATTGGTATTTAACTGGGGATTAAAGATGGTGATGTGCCTATTCTAAGGTGATGTGCCTATTCTAACCAATGAGGTTGAAGAGCTATTGATGTATAAGAAAGAAATGTTGATGTAAAATGCGATTCAAGCTAATCATGAAATAAATGGCGATCAACCAAGAAATTAGAGACGTTATAGAAATAACATCTCTTGATATTAATGCAGCCCTGTCCAGTATCAATTAAACATTAACAAGGAAACTGTCTCAGGCTTGTCATTGGGCATTTAACACAAATGCAGGGTACAGCATCAGTGACAAGTGTCACAATAAAGTGACATTGAGAGGACACTATAGTAACCCCTATAGCATTTCAATAAGCTGACGTTCTTTAGGCATTTGGAGTGTTTGGGATTTCTGTCTATCTGCTTGTTATTTAGAATTAATGGTTAATTTGCCAGAATTTGGTCCAAATTATTCCTTTTTTTTTTAGATGTAAAATTTTATTTTTTTAAATAATATACAATGTTCCGATTGATGCATCTAATCTTGCATACAATCTGCAGCTGAGTGGCCAAGCACTGATACACATGACACTGTTGCCTTTTGTTTCCTTATTTACTACGCCCATGGGACCAGATTTGGATTGTGTCCTTGTAAAAGCAAGAAATGTCCTTTAACGAGTTTCATTTAGCAAACTGCTTTCTTCGTATAAATTCTCCATGAAGGAGTTGACTAGTAAGATAAAATGCATCAAATTCTACTGGGGCACAATTTGAATTTATATTTATGTTTTCTATTTTCTATTTCTATTTTCTATTTCTATTTTCTTCATATTTGTGGTTTATTTTATGCCCTCAAAAGTTACTAAAATTCTAGTAAAATATATAAAAAAAAAAAAAAAGGATTTACCCCTTAAGGACACATGACATGTGTGACATGTCATGATTCCCTTTTATTCCAGAAGTTTGGTCCTTAAGGGGTTAAACATGTTTGTTTGTTTTTTTTTTCTTATATTTTGTTTTTGTGCCATTGGACTAATGTTATCATGGTCTTTCCATTCCCATGACCTTTTCAGGGTTATCTGGAAGAGCTAGTACGTCTGCGAGAGTCTCAGTTGAAGAATTTGGAAGCTGAAAACAAGCGTCTTACTCAGCGGATCAGTGAACAGGCAGAACAGAGTCTGCAAGAGAAGCATCAATTGGAGGGAGTAATTCTGGAATTACAAGAACAACTGTGAGTTCTAGAGTCTCTATGTAACCACATATATTTGTGCTAACTCATGTAATAAATCCTCATCTTCCCTCTGCACTGTACCTTTCAACCACCAACTCACTAAGACCACATACTGACCAAAAACAATCGATGATCCGTGTCTTAGTAAGATATAGATTTCCAATCAGGAATTGAAGTAGAACCCCAAAAACTGAATTATCACGGATTCCTTTCACATGTCATTCATGACCTTTCTACAAGAAAAACAACCAAAACCACACACCAGAGACACATTCTTCATCCAGACACATGTCCTCTAAATCAGTGTCAGGAAATTTTAGTCCTAAAGGACTAGTTAAAGGCCCCGGATTTTGGGATATCACTACTGAAAAAGAGATGTGTCGACCAATGGATCAGCCATTTAGATTGCCCTTAAATAGGTAGATATATTTGGTTATGGCCTGAATTGGTTCTGTACATTTCTCATATACCCCCCTTCCCCCATCTGCAGGCTTTTACTAGCTAGAATTGCCTACCACTGATTCTAGGACGCATGCATAGGAACCAGACCTTTATTAATATATATATATTAAGTCAAAACTCACCTAGGTGTCCATAAACTGGATTCTCATCCCATTGCAGATTGAAATACTCGGCTTTTATGCAACACACTCACCAGCCACTCAACCATTAGATCTTTCAAGACACTTGGTCATTAACAAGGACGTCTATTGGGTATTAACCATAACATGGTGGTAGGCAACCTTCAGCACTCCAGATGTTTCAGACTACATCTCCCAAATTGATCTTGCAGCCACGATGCTTACAAAGCATCAGGGGAGATGTAGTCAACAACTTCTGACACACCGAACGTCGCCTAACCCCTTTTTAAGCTAGTTCATACTGCATGCTTTACCATGATACACACCAACCCAGAGGCATGGAAACCATAACAGCCCTGTGGTTGTCCTACTAGGTAGGGTAGCATGTAATCAGGGTCATGCACGGTCTGTCCATGGCAGGAGGGTATGCCAGACATTATGAAATGAATGTATTGCATGTCTGAGTGCTTTCTCTATGTGATTCCAGCACTGGCCTCCTCCCTTCTGAAACTGCCCCCATCAAACAGTTCACTCCCAGCCTGGGAGCCCCTCTGGGAAACCAATGGCCGTCACTGAGCACTCTTAATGATAATGAGGCATCAGTTAAGCCTTCGCTGTACAGGAGGTAAGACACAGCCCATACACATGGTAACTCACTGAACAGATCATAGATCATGAGCACTGTTCGCTCCATACCTCGTCATGTCCAATGTACAGACCATCTCTCCATAAGTCTCCATACGTGTGTCTGATCTACAGTGCTACTTCTGTAATCCATGTTTCATCTCCGAAGACCATTGCTGTAATAATCTTCATATAAATCACAAAATATAAATCAGGGTAGGGAAGCTTTGGCACTTTGGATGTTGTGGACTGCATCTTCCATAATGTTGACCAAGCATCAAGGAAGATGTAGTCCACAACATCTTAAGTGTTGAAGGTTGTCTACACTTGTTAAAAATTAAAAGAGTACTCCAAAACCCAAATAAAAGTAAAAAGCAATGTTTAGTAGATATATCCAAAAGAAAACATTTCTTTTGGGGTATATGTCCCATTCTAACTTCGTCCAATCATTCTGTGACTGTCCAATCACAGACTTCCCAATGCAGCTCAATGAGAAGTCTTTGCAAGGCAGGTGCTCTGGGCAATTGCTGCCTCTTAAGTTTAGCTCCACTGAGCTAACCAAACCAGGAAGTAACAGGAGCGGTTGTCTGATTGACAGCCAAGGGGGTGTTACCAGGTTAATTTATAAACATGCCAATTTCTATTGAAATCTGCACTTTTTGTAAAAGGGAAAAAAAGAAAGAAAAGAGGTCACAGTCTTCACACAGAACTAACTAGCTGACAGGAAGTCACGTGATGCTTATAGACCACAGAAAACGTCACACTTTCAACCAAAGACTGAAGAGCTCTGAGAGGAGATACATTATATGTGTCATTTAGTCAGAGCAAACAGCTTAATTTTATTTATTATTAGTATGAGGCTAGGGGGCATTAGACCCATTGGAAAGAGAGGATGGGGGTACTGGCCCTGAAATGATAAAATAGTTATGCAGGAGACCAGGCCAGACACGATGTAAGGCCCTGGATGCTGGAATATTCATGGACAATTGTCCCCCTGTAGTTTTTAGTATATCCACATTTTTCTCTAGGTAATTTTTCCCCCCTCTCCTAACAGCTTATTATCCATGATTCTAAAAAAAATAAAAATATTTTGGCTCAAAAAAAAAACAAACAAAAAAATAAGGCGGCTTTGCTGTAGGCTCAGCCTGTAGTTGTAGAAGGGCTTAGCCGGCCTATAAATTCTCAGGCCTCCCCTTCCTCTGGGCAGATACTTCCTGGTTCAGCCAATCCACCGCTTCCTTTATCAAGACATTTACTTGGTAGGCCCTCTTTTTACAGGCCTACCCAAATGTCCGATCCAGCACACCACAACTGACTTACACCACCACTACTATACCTCGGCTTATTGTTCCCAACCACAAATAAACGTTATATTTTCAAATGTAAAAACATCATTGGAATCACTCCTTCCATCATTGTAAGAGCAACTATTCATATAACCTTTAACTCCTTAAGGTCCAAACTTCTGGAATAAAATGGAATCATGACATGTCACACATGTTATGTGTCCTTAAGGGGTTAAAGGTTTTGAATAATCTCAAAGTCGAACTGTGTATCCTAAGTAGGTCCTGCGTTTCTCCCCCACAAAGCCTAATGTTAATGGAAAGGGCGACCATGGAGTCAATCCATTAGTAAGCCCTAGCCAAGCTGATATCTTGCTCTGGACTGTGCATCTGTCCAATGAGCCCATTTTGAGACCAGCAAAGGCATAGAAGGTTCTTACTTATAAAAGCAGGACACGGGGTCAGAGAACCCTAGTTGTTCAATTAGAATTGTAATTCATACCATGATTATCAGTGTTCCAATGTGGAAATGATCTATTCTGAATGAAACTAAATACGGAAAATAACTCTGAAACAACACAAAATTTGTGCACCGTTATTTGCATTTTTAAATTGGCATGTTTAAAAATGGCAATCCCACATAAGGGTACCAAATTAGGGAGCTATCTTGCAGCTGCTTAGTAGATAATTCCCTAATCTGATATCCTTTCAGTTGCGTAGAAGGTAAGTCCCTAATTTGTGACAATCCCACGTAAGAATACTAAAGTAGGTAACTATCTACAAACCGTTCAAAGAGCAGAATTAAGAAAAAGCATTTTTTCTTAATTTTTCTGTTAAAGATGCATAGTAGACAAGTCTTTAATTTGCTGTCATTATGAAAATGACCGGATCCAAAATATATATTGTTTCAGTTCGTTCCAAATTTGTTCATCAGTTCATTTAGTTTTGTAAAGAATTTGGAAATTCGGATGAAATTCAATTCAGAACAAAGCAAAATACACATGTTTACTCCTTAAACACTTGGCTCGTCCTTTTTATATGACTGGTAGACTGTGAGGTTGTTTGGGTAGGGCCCTCTTCACTTACTAATCCAGCATGTCAATCATGTTTTGCAAAAAATGTAGTGTCTGTCTTGCTTACCTGTTGTACAGCACTGTGGAATATGTTTGCGCTATATAAATAATTGTAATTGGACCAGGTTAGCAAACTTTCTATATACACTTACCTTTTATTTTTTTAGCCAATTCGGTGCCCCATACCAGAAGTGGATGTGATGCACAGATCAAAGTGTTACTTAAAGGACCACTATAGGCACCCAGACCACTTCAGCTTAATGAGGTGGTCTGGGTGCCAGGTCCTTCTAGGTTTAACCCTTTTTTTTTTTTTTTATAAACATAGCCGTTTCAGAAAAACGGCTATGTTTATTATAGGGTTAATCCAGCCTCCAGTGGCTGTCTCTTGACAGCCGCTAGAGGCGCTTGCGTGCTTCTCACTGTGATTTTCACAGTGAGAAGACGCCAGCGTCCATAGGAAAGCATTGTAAATGCTTTTCTATGGACTGGCTGAATGCGCGCGCAGCTCCTGCCGCGCATGCGCATTCAGCCGAAGAGGAGGAGAGCTCCCCGCCCGGCGCTGGAGAAAGAGGTAAGTTTAACCCCTTCCTCTCCATCCAGCCCGGCGGGAGGGGGTCCCTGAGGGTGGGGGCACCCTCAGGGCACTATAGTGCCAGGAAAAAGAGTATGTTTTCCTGGCACTATAGTGGTCCTTTAATAGTTTCATAGTTATTGTGAAAATCTTTGCTCATGGAGATACGCACATTTTTCTGTTGTATGAAAGAGCCCTTAGCTAAATGAACTCATGTATTATATCTTTCATCTGAAAGCACCATTATCTTGCGGTCTGCAGAGTATTGTGGTAATCTGTGTATTTCTGTATTTCGTTCCCTGCAGACACAGCTACCTGAGCACAGAACATCTATCTGCTGAGCTCAGTCTAAGCTCCGAGTTCCAGCGCGGAGATGGTAAGCAGGATGGCGAGCCCTGGGGTCCTATTGGTAAGTGAATGCAGGGTTGTGCGCGTGATGGGAGGAGAGCTGTGTATCTGTGCGTGGCTGGTGTCAACTCAATAGAACCTTGATACAGTTACTGAACTGTTACAGAACTTCACTGGAACTCAACTATCTACTTTAGCTACATCTTGTGACGCTGACTATGGCAGAACATAAGGAAAAATTAACATGTAAATCTGTAAACGTCCATGAAATGAGGCTGAGTATATATGCTGAGGTTAAAGTGGACCTGACCAAATAGGCACCTTACTGAAATAGAACATTTTTAGGACTTCCATATTCAATTATTCTTTGGGAGGGAGTGACTGTATTTAGAATGTTTCGGTAGGATGAGTGTGATGTTGTAGAGATGTAACCAAAATGAGATCTTAAAAACTTGCATCTTGAATTATTAAAATGACACTATAGTCACCAGAACAGCTACAGCTTAACGGCCTTTTCAGAGACGGCAACTAGAGGTGTTTCTTGCACCTCTAGTGGCCGTCCACGCTGTGCATGGAGGCTAATTTTCCCCATTCCTGGCCAATCAATGTCAGCATCACCTATGGGTTAGCTCAGCTGATAGGACAGGAATCTAAATTTCAAATGATGGTATATAAGGAATCCACCTGTCCAGAATAAGCAGTCTTTTTTCCTGTCCTCCATGTTGGAGATAAGGCGGTTCTAAGGTTGGTTCCGATTTTCATTCAAAAGGTTCCTTTCCTAATTTCACCTGAACAGGAGATTATCCTACCTTCTTTCTTGGAAAGCCCTTCTTCTGAAGAATCCCTTTGGCATACTTTGGATGGGGTTAGGTCTTTATGCATTTACCTTAATCGTAGTAAAGAATTTAGTAAGTCAAATAGACTTTTATTGTACTTTTTTGGTTACCATAAATGTATATCTGTCTCTGTTTCTACTATCAGGAGATGGATTACTTCTGCGATTCAGGGTCACTGACAAACCCGTGCCAGAAAGTGTTAAAGCTCTCTCGACCTATGGCTGTCTCGGCCTCTTTGGCGGATACTTCTACAGAAGAAGTTTATAGGGCTGTAGCCTGGTCATCTTTCAACACTTTTGCGAGGCACTATCACCTAGACGTTTCAGGCTCCTGTCCCTCCTCATTTGGGAGAAATGTCCTACTTTCACAACTGTTTCATTAAATTTGGTATAGGATTGATACGGTATAATTTTTTTTATTTTTTTATCACCCACCCTTTACTTTTGCCTGGGAAGTCCCACAGGTGATGCTGACATGGATTGGCCTGGAAAACAGAAAATTGTTACAATACTTACCGTAATTTTCTTTTCCTGGCAAATATCCATGTCAGCATCAACGAACCCTCCTCTTTTTACTGGACTGACTTGGTTACGAGACTGCTTATTCTGGGCAGGTGGATTCCTTATATACCATCATTTAAAATTTAGATTCCTGTCCTATCAGCTGAGAGGGAGGAGCTAACCCACAGGTGATGCTGACATGGATATTTGCCAGGAAAAGAAAATTACAGTAAGTATTGTAAAAACATTTTTGTTATAGGAATGCAAAGATTGAATGCATCTCTTTGAGATGAGGATTGCTGCAGCCCAATATTTTGCTGCGCATGCGCAACAGCCTCCCAATGATTTTCTATGGGAAAACAGTGGATTGGCTAAGATCATCAATATTGATGATCTTAGCCAAGGGGGCGGAACCAGCTTTGTCAGAACCATGCAGCACTGGAATAAAGATATAGTTTTAACAAGGGCCAGGGGAGTGGGGCTGGCACCTAAATGGTGTTTTTAACACAGTAGTGTCAGGAAAACACGTTTGTATTCCTGATGCTATAGTGTTCCTTTTAGAAATAAAGAAAGTGAATAAAGTGTGAAATGTCAATTTTAAACAAACCTCTCAAAAAATGTAATAAAAATTTGAATGAATACCAGATATTTTCTAATTGATCATTTTTACTGTTGTTGTTTAGGAAAGGATCCTACACCATCAATGTTGGGTCTATGTGGATCTCTGGCTTCCATTCCAAGTTGTAAATCTCTGCCAAGTCTGAAATCCAACGAATGCCTTGTGAGCAACAGCAGTGAGACCAGCCCAACTGGAAGCCCTAGCTGAGCCCACCCTATGGAGAACCCAGAACCATCACAACCGCAAAAAAATAGGAGCCTAAGCTAAAACTCCCACAATCATCCCATGACCAACCTGCTGAAAAGGCCACTAATCCTATCCACTTCCAGCTCAAATGAAATTGGGGGCTTCTGACCTGGGCACCTGCTGACTCAAGAAGAAAAAAATTCTGTAACACAAAATATGCAACTGACTAGAAGTTGGGTCCCCAGAGTGAGACAACTCATTCACCTTATAACCCAAAAGTTCCCTAAAAAGCAGCACAAGACCTAAACTTCTAGAAGGTGTTGGCCAGAAGAAGACTTCAACAGCAATGTATTGGAATTCACGAGTGGAAGCCATAAACACACCTCATACCTAGTCCTGTCCATTACTGGTGTCCTATTGTAAAGACTCAAACGCATCACATTCACTAGAACCTGGAAGTAATCAGAACACCAAATCAAGAGCTTGAGTTTACCCCAAAATGCCTCAGTCCCGAGAGACCTAATACCACCTAACATATTTTTCCATGTGGACCTAAAACAGGCCTAAGTTCATGAATGTGGGAAGGGTGGAACTCGTCCTTAACTGATTCCATCATATATTGTGTGTCACTGGTACCCACTATGCGTGTCATGGAAGATGCTTCCTACAGTGGGAGCTTCTCCATTATGCCTATTAAAACTGCAAAACTCTAAAAGTTGTATGTTTTACTGGGATGATGGTGGGGACCTAACACTGAAACCCACCCATATCTAAATCTCTGTATACATACATCCCCAGTAAGTCGACTGGGGAATACTCACACCCCGCAGAACATCAACTATATATTAGCCTATCCCGCACGTTACGTGCAACAAATCTTCAACTGCAACAGATGGTTTTAATATCTGTCCAAGGCAATTCAGTACGCAGCAGTCTATCATCGGCTTCAGGTTGGGAGAAATAGAGGGGTTTCGAGAATCAGAGTTAGGTTAGTCTAGTTTCCATCTCCATGCCCTCTGGGTCTCTCTTGTTGAACCCATGGAGTCCTGTGTTTCTCTCCATGCCCTCATCACTCAACCCTTGAGTCATTAGTCATATCTCATTACTTGAGTTCCTTCTTAACCTCAATACCCACTGCATCTTCAACGGATGAGTAAAATGTGGCATCAGAGGAGACCAATTTACCTTTTCCACCAAGTCTTTTATATGCAGCTTGAGCATGGTACTGTGTGCTAGAGGGGAGAGGCTATGAAACCGTATTCTCATTTCCCCACCTGCAGCCGCCATGACATGCAAGAGACTTGCTGGGGAGAGTAGTTCCATTCCTCACATCCCTGCAATACTACACTACAGGTGGAATAGATTAATGCTATGGTGCCTCATGAATCTTACGCTACTGCATTTCTTTTAAGTTTCCAAAGCAACGGGGAAAAAGGGTCAGTCCCTTTACATAAACAAATACAATAAAATTATTTCAGTCTTAAAGATTGGGACCCCAGCCAAGATCCTTTGACATTGACAGCTAAACTAGTGGAGTTTTCACAAATTGAATCTGAATGGAAAACAAACTGAGGCAAACATAGTTGATCTTGAAAAATTCTCTATCTCCACTGTAGTCACAACATGGCTATTTTTGCTTCGGGGAAATTCACAAAACTCTATTTTTGAAAAATAAATCCAAATGCCAAAAGGGAGTGTCTAACCCTGTCCCCTCCCACTGTCATAGTATGTGGTGTGTGCTGAGTGCTCACTGTGCTGGCTGTATGTGATGTGTGCGTATGTGTACTGGCTGTTGTGTGTGTGTGTGGTGTGTTTTGGCTGTGTGTTGGCAGTATGTAATGTGTGGGTGTTTGATATGTACACTTTCTGTATGTAATGTGTGTTGTATGTATGTAACATGTGCATTTAGTGTTGTCTGGCTGCATGTGATGTGTGTGTGCTGGCTGCGGTGGTGCTCTGTGTAGCCCCCTTCCTGCTAAGGTTTTGCACATAGAGGTGTGGTGATCCCTAGTGGTCCAATGGGAGAGGGGGTCATGGAATACCAGGGAGTCAGAATGCATGCTGGGAACATTTGATAGCTGTGATCTGGCTAACTAAAGAGTGGCAGACAGCAAGTGTCTGATTACTGAGGTCTGCGCACGCCGGTAGTTCAGACATCACACTACTTGGCCCAGCAGCAAACCCCACCAGGACAGCCCAGTAACTTGCCTGCAGCAGTATAAGAATAAAATTAGAAAAAAAAACTGCATAACAATTTCCACATCTATTTTACTATAGGCCATTTGGGAAGATCGCTCTCTAAATTTAACAATGGCCATTGGCTTATGACCATCATTGTCCAACTGTTATTTGGCTGGGCCTGGATCCCATTGTTCACCTCTGCTGAAAATGTTGGTTCTTTATAGCCAGCATAATAATCTCCTTGCATCACCTATCCAATTGTACAGCGCTACGGAATTTGCTGGCGCTATATAAATAGTAATAATATCATTGCAGAAAGTATCTAAACTACTTCACTTAGTGTAGAATGTGGTCTAGTCTGCTCCAGGGAAGATGCCCATTTAATCACAGACTGGCATAAAACCCCTGTGTTTCTGGATGTGATCGAATGCGCTGAATCTGTAGCATTCTTGGTCAGTTCAGCGACCCTCTGAAAAGTAAACCGTATTTTATACATTGGGGTTCATCCACTTAGCTATGTATTAGAAAATCTCTCTCTCTTCTCTCTCAAAAAAAAAAAGTCCAATTCTTTAGGTCTAACTTTTGAAAGATATTGCCAGCTCTACACAACTCAAATGATTAGTAAATGCATAAAGGCAGCCTCTAAAATCTTACGACCTCAGCATTTCTACAGTAATTTTCCCCCACACCTTCTCTGCATCTAGCAGTTAATACATTTCGCTCCTATATCATTAAACATTGTACAACCATTATCAGGGTCAGGGTTGTCACATTAGCCAAGGCCTGTCCCGCTGTCTGCATGGCCAACAGAGTACTGCCATCTATGGTTGGCTTAAGGACTTACAACTATGACACCTTGGCTCAGTTTCAGTAGATGGGGCTGCTTTATAACTCTGAAGGAGTTAGGCCCTCCAAAAGCATCCTGGAAAAAGAATCAACTGGACCCAGGAATATAAGAAATGTAAAATAGCTAAAGTTAGTTACAAGTCATATATGAAACGTGGTGTTGTAGGATGAAACGTGGCAAACATACAACGGAATATGGACACATTGGATGAATTAAGTATGGCGTTCACAATACAATACAACTAAGTCATGAATTATGGGGTGAGCTATATAGCAAGTGAGTAGAATTAGTGTTTGGGATTAAATTTGGAATTATTTGATAAAATACTGCAAATACAGGGAAAAAAAGTTACGTGTGGCAAATTAAGGCTTATGGTGAAAAACAAGCGATATTGGAGGAAGGGGAGAACTAGACTAAAAATAGACTGTCAGAGATTTTAGAAGAGATAGAGCAGAGAGAAAATGTTAGAAAGCCATGTATAACCGCTTGGGGCTATGTATATTTAGTTGTTATTGCACGGGTCAATACGTAGGATTAGTGCAGGTGTACTGAAAAACCAATTACAAACTCGAGACCAAAATGGCAGTGGGAAAAAAAAAAAAAATCTATCTTTGTATAGTCACAGTTTTTTAATTTTAATCTGAATTTTGCAATTGTTCTCAATCCCTCCAGGTCACTGTATAGTGAATAGAAGAGGGAATTAGGCAAAGGAGTTCAAATAATTTCTAATTAGGTTTAGGTTTTGCAAGTTTACCAATTCCTGATAATCCACAGTTTAATGATTATCTAAATGCGTGTATGTATTTGCACAGAAATCAATATTACAGCTCTCTGTCATGTTACATGAAGTTGAACGTGGTAGAAGCAGGCTCAATATACTGATTTTGATTTTTTTGCTTTGCCTATGTCCTGTAATTCATTTATACCAGTTGGTAGCATTATGCAAGATAAAAGTTAAATTTTGAATTGCCTTGAAGGGCTGCTCCAAGCACCATGACCACTTCAGTGATCTGAAGTCTATATGAGCAACATTTCGCTTTGAAATGCAGAACATACAGTTCAGACTTAGGCCCTCCAAAAGCATGCTGGGAAAAGGTAATCAACTGGACCCGTTAGAACAAAGTGTGTCACTGGACTACTAGGGTGTCTCAGAGCCTGGCAGAGTCCCAGGTAAGGAGGGTAAACTGTTGCTAAACTGTTTGCCCCAGTGCCAGGGAACTAGGGCAGGGTGCTCCTTGCATCATACCTACAGCAGACTAACAATAATGCTTAGTGTAATCCTTTAACCCCTTAAGGACCAAACCTCTGGAATAAAAGGGAATCATGACATGTCACACGTCATGTGTCCTTAAGGGGTTAATGAATGTCAGCCCTGCATATAGTGGTGCCACCATGTTTTTTGTACATATATACAGATCAATCCACACCACGTGATTAATGCGGTCACGCTGTATGTTTAAGAGGAATGTTGTGCTAGTGCAATCAAGTCATTGCGGAATCTGCTGCATACGATTTCTACAAACTGCAGGGCACTACATTTCACGTGTTAGGCAAAACGCAGAGACAAAAATAAATAAATCACAATGCATTAAATGCACTTTTATTTTTAATGTACATTTATCACAACTGTGTGTGTGTCTTACTCCTAGGGAGGTGAGCAGCTGGAGGGTGGTGGGTTTTATTCCACAGCAGAATTAACAAAAAAACAAAAAAAAACACAGACAGGCAAAATATATATAAAGGGCTGGACAACTGCATAGCTCTTAGAAGTCAAAGTGTGCTTCAACTCTGTACTAAATACCCCAAAAACATGGTGCTAAAAAGGGAGTTGTCCAGTCTTGTGCAGGTAAATAATGTATATAAAACTATTTATATACATGCTATTGGTTCCTGGCTTATTCACTAAACTGAGAATTTTGGATCAACGCCAAAATGATGTGAACATTTTAGGCTCAAAATTGGCCATAGCAATGAATAAATGCTTGCTACTTTGTGATTAAGGTCAACTTACTTGCAACACATATGTAAAGACATCGGGCTGGGTAGCATTTACTTTAAACATATGGTTTAAACAAAATGCAATTTTAAAAAGTCAGTGTTTCCAGTGTGTTTGGAGGTTAGCTACGTAATTTCGCTGTGATCACACTATGTACAGTACTTGCCACCCATTTATTTAATTATTTAACCCCTATTCCCAATATCCCCCCCAGAGTAACACCTCAGCGAGATAATGTACTCTTACAACGACTGCGCTGCAGTTAAAAGCTCTGCGCTGCCCCCTATGCCTGCAATGTAGGCAGTGCTAAGCCTGAGTTACACTAAGTGCAGTCCCTGCTGAATGGAAACTGGACTGGCAGTGACACATTTAAAAGGACAGTTACGCCAAAGCTTAACAAGCTGAAACAAACAAAAAAATAAAATAATTACTTGATTTACACCTATGATTTCAAAGGTACCTGGTTCTTGTGCAGTGAAGGAACCCATGCCACTTTACAAGTTACAAACCGGGTTGTTCATTAAAGTGTGAAATATCTGAAACTAAGTTATGTTATGTTTCCATGACCGACCACGTGAAATTTACTTGGAATTCCTAACAATTCACACATTATGAGCCTGCAGGTTCACGAACGTCAGTGGTATGATAAACAAATTTTCTGTCTGTACTGATCAATAATCGATGCCCTCTATGCAACCTGTTCGATGGTCAGATTCTGGAATGCATATTTCTGATACAAAAAGGAATACATATGTTGTGGCCAAAGTCAGAAATTCCAACAGCCAAAGTCTATAACACAATTCTCCACAAGTAAAACAAAAAAATATTAACACAGTCACTAAAACGTGCTTTGCTTTTAGTAGAGGAAGGGAATTGATTACTGGTAGGATTTACATTACACGTATAGGAGATAGTTTAAATATCTATAAGAAATCCGTTCAATAGATGTGTTTTTTGTTTCTGGAATGAAAACTTGGGGATTTTAATGTGTTTAAACTGGACATAATTTGGATGTGTTATCAGATTTGGCTTGGGTGCAAGTTTCTGACTTTTGCTAGAGCATATAGCATGTTAACATAGTGACCACGTGAAAATAATTCACAACCCTTTAAAAGCAAAGGTGAGGGCAACTTATTTCCCACAGCTTGGCACTTAAAAGGCTTAAAACTGAAAAAAAAAAAAAAAAAGATGGAAAAACATCACACATTGTTGGCAATAGTGCGGATAAAAGGGCACTGCCACAATACAAATTTTGAAACCCCTTACAAACACAATTTTTGATTTGGAATGAAAAGGGGTATACATACCAGTTTACCCTCCCTGACTTAAGATGCATCATTAGGTCAACTGAAACAAATTAGTTGCTACCTAAATATAGGGTGTAGGCACTTCTAGGAGACCTGATCATGCATGGTGCTTCTGCTGAACATCTGCCCATTAGATTTAGGTGGAGGAAAAGGAAGTGCGGTAGGCAAGGACTTTCAGGAAAGAGAAGATCAATAGGTGAACTTGAAATCTTGGGAGACCAGACATCTTTCTAGAACCAAGTTCGGTATTCTAGACTTTCAACAGACAACTTTAAGTCCAAACTTTTTTTTTTTTTTGTTCTCTAAGAGAGAAGTCTTGTGATTCCTAGTCTGGTTCCACTGTCAGTTTTTCTAGAATATCAGTCCTCAATCATTAGCTCTTCAGCCACAATTCCATGTTGAAGACCAAGGTTCACTTGGAACCAGAAGTCCATCTATTTTTGTAGCTCGTGTTTCAATGCAGTCACACGGCAGCAGACTGTGAGATTATGCAAAAACGAATGGGACTGTAGAGAAGTTCTTTGGTTTTCTTGTTTTTGTACAGGAATCTTCTAGTTCAATATTGGAAAGCCCTACGATAGTGTTCCTGAAGTTCTACACACTGTAATTGTGGATCAAGTGGTTTGTTCCCAGTACCACAGCTTTTTGACTAGGTTTCTATGATACCCATTTATAAAATCTTAATGAATTCTAGATTCATTATCACAGCCAGCTACAGACTTGTGATTATTATTGGTAAAAACATAATGCCTATAGAATTTAGTTTAAGCTCTTTTATCAAAGTCCCTTTCCACCAGATATGACAAGATGGTGGACAAAAATCAATGGAAACACCATTTTTAAAACAGCTAAAAGGCAGTAGGGCCACACTTTACATCCAGATCAGTTCCAATGCTTCTTTAACACCCCTCAAACAGGCTTGAAGGTTGGTGAAATACATCGCTATGTACAAAGTTGTTGGAAAGATGAAGATCTAAATTCACACTCCAGAATGTCCCATAACATTTTAGTTATATTTGGACATGGTAATTGGCGAGCCCATGACATTTATTGGATTACCATTCTTGAATTTGTTTATCAATATGGATGGGGACTTAATTATCCTCCAATGCAAGAACTTCATCAAGCTACAGTGATTGCACCATGGTAGGCACGAAGTTCTTAAAAAAACAAAACAAAAGGCATCTTAGAGCTTCGCCATTCAGAGCAATCACCTGACCTTAAGACTCGCACTATAGTGCTAGTGCCGTTACTAGAAGCCCACCGGACTGCGGAGAAACATGGTGAAAGACGACCCATAGGAACACATTTGTTCCACTGTTCTTGTGGGTTTTGTGCTCCTTATACCAAGTTATGCATCTTTGTGCGTGGTCTTTAGATATTAGCGGCTACTGAGAGGCAGTCCTGCTGTAAACTTCAGCATTTATATTCATTTGACCCACAAGCTTCGTTGAGACTTCGTTACAAAGATTCCGCTCTGTGTTCATAGAAAGTAGAGCTATTTCGGTTGATACGGTTCTCCTTGATACAGTAAATAATTTCACAAATTTTGTGACTAAAGGATCTGTAATTCATATACAATTTCGTTAGCCTAATTTGAATGGTTAGTTTCCTGCCCGCTTTGAAAAATAAATATCCAAGTGCCAATTGTTTTAGAAGCAACTCATACGGCTAAATTAATAAGAAACTAATGTGACTCAACAACATTTCTACTTGTGATTTAGTTAAACTTATTTTCTAGATGGCGCTTCCATTGTTTTGTCCATGTCCCGTATTTAAGACAGATCAGTGATTTCATAGCTACGTGTAAGATGTACAGCTGTTGTGGTTTCTTGGTCGGGATCTAGAAAACGCGTTTCGCTTTCTACAGCTGCATTTCACTGGATTGCTTACATGTTTCTGAAAATTCCTGGTATAATCGAATGTTTAAAAAGCCTGTTTACTCTGTGCAAGGTGGGAAATCCAGAGCATAGTTTCAAAAGGACGCAGAGTTTGTCCTGCTTTTCTAGAGCTCAAATCTCAGATATTTGTGCATTTTTCCTGGTTGCGCTGCTGGAAGAAGTTCTTCCCAAATTCATATGAACTGATCATAATGGCACATGCTGGAGCCACTTTAATGACACGGGGCATGAATCCTGACAATGAGAAATGGAAGAATTAAACAGTCAGAGACGTTATAAACGTAAAGGAGATACATCTGAGGAGAAGGCAGATTAATTGGATTTACCTGTAAAAAGTCCTCGGGTTCCAAATTCTGCACGGATTGTACGCATTGCCCCCCAGGTCGAAGATCTCTGCTGTCTCGATGGGCCTGGGAAGAGAAAAAAAAAAAAAAAATATTTAGACACCACTTGTTTTTCTTTTAAAAACTTATTTATTTAAAGGGACACTAAGCACTGAAGCGGCTTTATCTTTTTGAACAGAATAGTGTGTTAGGAATGCCGTCCATTCATTCCGTGTTAAAACGTTTCTAGGTTTTAAACAAGAGTACCCCAGCGGCTCATCCAATTTTTGCTGGATGGGCTAATATGATTAGCCTGGGCAGCTGTGTTATTGGCTGAGAGTGTTAGCTGACAGATTTTAAAATATCAAAGCGCCTAATGCGGGTATGACAACAAGGATGTAGTCATCTCCTCCTTAACTATAATTCTGATAGGGGCCGGGCAGTGGGTAGTCAAGAGGCAGGGCAGTGGGTAGTCAAGATCCCCTATTTAGTGTTAAACTGCTTGAAAATGGTTTAACAATGAAGGAAGGAACAGTGTCAGGGGACTCCAGGAACTATAACCATTTCATCCAATTGAATTGGTTATAGTGCCACATTGTCACTTTATAAAAGCAAAGTGCTTTAAACTGCAGACTGAAATTACAAATTTTACACTAGACATATAAGTAGGAAAAAATACCTGAATAAGATAAGGTGAACAAGGCTCTATTTTATATTTCGGTAGCCCAATTCACTATTTTAAAATGAAAATAAGATACTGAATCATGAGACAACCCCCTCTTTTTTACCTAAGGCAGAGCGAGCTTCATGCAATTTCAAAACCCACCAAAATGTTCCTCAGGCCTTTTCAAGGCTCAAGGATGTTCTAAATAACAGTAAGCCAAGTTCCTAACAATTTTATCTACCTCCCAGAACCAAAATCTGCTTTTATCTGTGTGCCATTAAAACCTATACATTTTGAAGTAGGTATGTGTGTTTTAAGGAGGTACAGTAGTTACTTGGGCAGCTAATGGTAACAGTGTTTTGTAGCCTTTAAACCCTGCTCTTCGTCTTTTCTGCAACTTTACTATGCAGCAGATCTAACTGTTTCACAAATTGTATAGATTACAGCAATGAGGCAATTGTAAAGGGATCTGTGTGATAAAGCGCTAGACAGGCACATTGTGATCAATAGGACAATTTACAGCCCCACACTAACTGGCCTGCACATTGATCTGAAATTATTTTTAGATGTTTAAAGACTTTGTTCAAAGGTTAATGGTGCAATAGATTAGTAGAATGACCATCAAAGAAAGTTAAAATTAACATCAGTATGAATGATTGCCAAAACTATAAAACTATATTTATAAGGATAAGGTTTCTAATAAATAAAAATCCTACAGTTTATTTACAGTAACGTAACTATGGAATTTCTAAATCTGTTAAATAAATAACTAAAGTGTGCAGTGCATGGTTTAGTGGAAGCACGGAGTGTAGCAGTTACCATGGAAACGAGTGGCTTCCAGGGGGATTGCATTGTTTTCAATTACAGGTTTCTAAGTTTATTGCAATATTTTGAATATGAAGATTTCCCCACGACAGATAGATAACTGAATTGCATTGACAACCCAAATACCTTGGTAGCATTTCACAGATTACCAATTTCTTATCTTTTTGCAAAAACCCATCTTATTCGTCCAGGTCTCAGGCAACTACACACATAAAATTTATTGTAATATCACTGCTTCCAGAGATTCCTTTAGATTGTAAGCTCCCAAGTCATCTTGCTATGCACTTTGTATAAATACTGTATTATCTAGATTGCAAGCTCTCTGGCAGAGTCCTCTGCCCCTTTTTGTATTATTATTTGTATGTATTCCCTCTATTGTACTGTTCTACAAAATATATGGACTATCTAAATAATAACAAAAGTATGGAAATAGTCTAAGGAAATTCTTAAATCTTAATACTAAAAATAAAGCAATGGTTCCCTAGCAAAATGTTACAATGGTAAAATGGGTCCCCACGCACCGAACCTGTTCAAAAAGAACCAATGTCATATATGCTACAATTCTATCTATACACTGCGCTAGACAGTTTGTTTGTTTTTTAAATGTACTCTAGGGTATGCCACCCCACCCCCCCTTCACAACAGTCTTCTTACCTGTTTTAAGGTCCCCAAGTTCTATTTGTCTCTGAGTTTTTACGACATCAAAAGGCAGAGTGAGGATTGCTGCCACCTAGAGATATAATGCAGGAGAGGGGATTATTAGGCATTGGAGGTTAGACAAGAAGATCAGGTAAAGGCAGAATGTGGGATAGGAAGCCGGTTCTGCAGAGTTTGGAAGAAACAGAAAGTGACTAGGAAACGGACTTACAGATCCAGACACGGCTCCTGCAGTAAAGCTGATCAGGAATGGAGACTCTGTAATGGTCCACGAGGTACTCAGCTTCTTCTTTACCAGCTCGTAATTAAACCAGTACAACGCTATGAAGAGGAATGGGATCACATAGAAAAAGATCATACAAAGTAATAGGAGGAGTTATAGGGAGAGGTTATATGGCGTAATAGGAGGAGTTATAGGGAGAGGTTATATAGAGTAATAGGAGGAATTATAGAGAGAGGTTATATGGAGTAATAGGAGGAGTTATAGGGAGAGGGTAAATGAGTAATAGGAGGAGTTATACAGAGGGTTATTTAGAGTAATAGGAGGAGTTATAGAGAGGTTATATGGAGTAATAGGAGGAGTTATAAGGAGAGGTTATATGGAGTAATAGGAGGAGTTATAGAGAGAGGTTATATGGAGTAATAGGAGGAGCTATAGTGAGAGGTTATATGGAGTAATAGGAGGAGTTATAGGGAGAGGTTATATGGAGTAATAGGAGGAGTTATAGGGAGAGGATATATGGGGAAATAGGAGGAGTTATAGGGAGAGGTTATTTAGAGTAATAGGAGGAGTTATAAGGAGAGGTTATATGGAGTAATAGGAGGAGTTATAGGGAGAGGTTATATGGAGTAATAGGAGGAGTTATAGAGAGAGGTTATATGGAGTAATAGGAGGAATTCATCTAAATAAAAACAGCTAATTGAAAGATTTCATGTAAAGAAAAAATAAAGCTAATACAGTATAACAAAAAGATAGTAATTTATCTACCAGAGAATGGAACGTCTCTCATCACAGTAGGCCCCCATCCCTTCCAAAGAGACAGCCATCCATCCTGAGAGAGAGCAGATCGCAGACATACCCCCAGTTCCATGTAAGAGAGTTGCCGCGACTGCATCTTTGTACGGATCAATTCCAGCGGACTGATCACTGTAACTGCCCCCACTGAAACAGAGAGGCAGGCATTAAAAATATTGATGTCTCAAAAATTAAAACACACACAAAAAATAAAAATAATATATAAGACAGGCCTTCTCCAATGCACTTACATCTAGCTGCTGCTCCAGCAATAAGAGGAATATGGCTTCCATTGTATCCCATCCCATAGCGCAGGAAATCTCGCAATTGATCATAACAAGTGAAGTATATAATGGTAGCAGGTACAGCCATCACCCTGAAGGGGGCAACAAAGAGCATGGAGGTCAACATCGCACAACCAAAACTGATCATAACATAATCAGAAGATCACATAGTGAAACTAGGGCCAAGTCATCGTCGTATTTATCTGAATTTAGCAACTTAGTTCAGTGGAACCAACTGGATTCTCCAGCAAGGAAAATATAGAAGCAGGCTGTGTGGCTGCAGGGGCCCAAGGAGAGCCAGGTAATTACTTTGGAAAAGCGCCAGGGTAGTCCTATCACCATAACCACTATTTGGAGCTGTAATGATTATGGTGCTTTGGGTGTTCCTTCAACCAGTATTCGCGATTGGCATCCAGTGATGCTTCCGCATTAGCCCAAGCAGTGATAGAGGAAGCTGTGGGCATCACTTGCGTTAAAAATGTTGGAAAATGTTTTAACACAAGATGGCAAGCAGGAACCATGAGACTCCAGGCACCATAACCACTTCATTGAGATGAATTAGTTATGGTGCCTGGAGTACTCTTTTAAGTTCTAATCTTTAATAGACCATTCCATACTCACAATGTAGGCGGCAGCCCGCTCCAAAGGGAGGTCAGCCCCTCATGGCGTGTGATTTTCACAAAAGCATCCTGTATGTTGGATGATAAAAATTAGAAAGTATGCCACAGACACCTGAATTAAACACCATTGTGACAAAGGGAGCAAAAAAATACACATTTATAAATTATTATTTTACAGAGTTAGGCAGTTTACAGTGTATGGGTCTTTAATATATTTTGTTCTAAAGCATTTTGCCTTCATACTGCACTATTTATTCACTCAAATGTAGGACTCCAGAGATATATAAAAATAAAAAAAAAGTGCTATGCAAGAAGGTACATTCCTGCTTTGTTCTACATCACTTGAATTGCAAGGAAATACAATTAAGTTTAAAAAAGGAGCACTCCAAGAACCATAACCACTACAGCATGGGGTCTGACAACTTACCTGGGGTCAACCGCTGCCTCCTCTGCAGTCGAAAGCTCTGCCACTGAGCTAAGTCATGCCAGAATAGGGCTGCGTCCAATGGTTGAGAGCATTCAGCTGAAGTCTTGGAGTGGTTATGGTTGTTGGAGTGTTCCTTTAAGTATTTTCTAACAAATACTGCAAGTGTTACATTTTGTTGAAATCAATTCTATTTATGTAACTAGCAGACCACGGCATACCGAGATCTCATGCTCTCAGGTTCTATATGCAACCTGTCCAATCACTAAAATCCCATTCAATGCCCATGATTAATTCTTGTAATCACATGACTTGTGTTTAATGCTCTATTCCTTCTTACCAAGGTGCCATGAAAATGCATGGGTGCCCGGTACCAAGAACTGCAGACTGTGGCATGCTGGCACACAAACAGATGGTCCATCAGCCCATTACAGTACAGGAAACAGCGCCCTGGGCAACGGTTGTAAGGAAAGAGAGATTTAGTCTAATTATATTTTAAGAGCAGGACAGACACACAGCACCAGTACACTGGAGCAAACTATCAGAGCATATTCTGGAGAAGTAGAAGATAATACACATCAAGACTGGGAGCGGACACGTAGCACCAGTGCGTAATCAAGAGGGGCGAAAGCTGTCAAACCCTAAAACTCAGCAGCAAGGACGTCTTCAACAAGTGCATTAACAGCACTATCTGAGATGACTTTTAACGAGGCTGGAGTAAAGTCCATATTTAGAATGTGGGCCATGGGCAGCTTGCAAAGCTATAATAGTCGGGCATACTGTATAGACAAGGGGTACGCAGCAAAGATACCTGGTCAGGTTAATTCTATGGGTCAGAAGAGACAGTGACATAACGTCGTCACGAACACTAAACTGCTCGAGGGGCATTAATTGATCATTTCTAAGTTAGCTGCAGAACACAGTAGCAGAAGCTCAGTATATATCAAGTGTAACAAAACAGTCGCACTCAGCACAAACTGGGGGATGCAACACACACACAACTGAAGTACATATTGGAGGAAATTGCAGACACAATAAAACACATGGTGTATGATCTTATTATGCATTAAGGAAATAACCAGCACTTGATAAGCTGTTATTCCCTAAAAAAAATAAACTTCTCACATAGAGACAGTCCACGTGTACAATGAATTGCTCGGCTGTGTCAGTACACATGGGATGAAGCCAGGGAACTAAATGGCAGTATTAGTAAACACAGTGGGCAGCGGTATGCCTAAAAATGACGTGGGGCAGGTAATGGGCAGGGTCTAGATGAAACAGGCGATCTTTGCAAATGAATTCCAAAGTAGGATGGCTTTGTGTACTCACATTTGGGATGGCGCATGGGGGGTGCCCAGGGAAGGGACTTTACAGACAACACTGCAACACAAGAGGAAAATAAATTAGGGAAAGCCCAAATATGCATGTTGTATATACAGATAATATATTTAGTATCAGACATATGCATATTCTATTAATAGCAGGGGTTATTAGGCATGCTGTGCAAACACGTTAATACCAGTTAGCTATTGAGAATAGAAAGACTATATATACACCCACCCCAAAATAAGGAATGATGAATAAGGGGTATGCTTTGCCGAGTGTGAGGGAGGAAAGCAGTTAAAGGGAAAGCTGTTTCCTGCAGAGCTTACCTTTGGAAATGGGCTTCTTCTGTGCTTGAAGTCTGATCTTTACAACATCCAGTGGGGTCACTGCATGCACGTAGAATTTGAGAGATAAAACACAAGATGATCAGAATAGCAAACTTTGTATGACAACAGGAAGTGCCCCGACTACTCCATCCCCCATTATCACACACACATATCATACCAAAGAGAGATGTGAGAAGTGCTCCGGTGCCAGAGGCCAGAATCTGCTGAAATGGGGTGATCCCACACGTGGGGGATGTGGGCTCCTCCACCGCCATTCCTGCCACAACAGAAGGAGGAAATAGTGGGGAGGTAGGAAAAGTAGAAAGAGGTGAAGATATTTTGGAAGTGAGATATGTAATAGAAGAGGAGGATGATGGGAAAAGAAGAGACATTGTATAACAAATTTAACACCTCACTAGCTCCCAGAGGCAGGGCACCATCCTCCCATTCACTTATCTCGTCCCACCCAGCCCTGGGGCAGGCACGGCTCACTGGTGGTGCATTTCAATGATAACAAGGCTGATCTAGCAAGACATTCACTGCTGGGACTAATGATGGGAAACTCACTAGGAGAGCAGAAAAATAATCGATGAACATCTGAAGTTAAACCACCGTAAAAAAAAAATGCTCACCTGCTGTCTGATGGGGGGTTCAGATATTCCCTCTTTGTGGTGACAGGTGACAACACGCACCATTCCATTGGTGACTGTTAAAGAGAGAGAGAAAAGTTACAAACAGATTTTAAAACATGCGTTCGATCACGTAACTAAGAAATGTTGAGTTTTAGAAATGTTCTAATTGAGCGAAATCAGCCTAAATTTTGCAATTCTCTTCTTTTAACTGTCCAGTTTAGTGAATAAAACTGTTGTTGGTTTTTTTAATCACGCAAAGCTCTATAGAACACATTCTCTTCTTTATTCTTTACATAAACGCACCTAAAGAGAACATACTGTTGAAACGCATGGCCAACACACACACACACAATACTGGTACACCAAGTAAACATTGTATATTGCAAAACTTTACTCTACTGATTAAAAAAAAAGTATTGTATTTTAACAAAAATAACCCCCAACACAACAGTATACTAACCATATGGACACATTGTTATACACAGTCTACTCTAAACACACTCACATATGTTTGATTAGTGATGTGTTTATATACACAGTGTATACTAAGTTCACACACTCACAGCAACTAACCACACCATATGCCCGACATTATGCAGTCCACATACATCATTCTGCTCAACAGTATAATAACAAACAGCATCACACAAACTACAAGTATACACCAGGTTATTCACGAGTGTGAACGACAGGGATTTCAAACAAGGTTAGTCACCTAAGTGAGAATTTAAAGTAAATTCTAATTCACTTCATTCCAATACTGAACACATTATTGACTTAGAGAAAGTTTTAAGTTTGGCAATTTTTTTTCTGGAATTCAAATTCTCAGTGTAGTAAGCGACCCTGAAAGCGAGTTTTATATTTAGACCAAGGTTTCCGCATGGCTATTTTACCCTACAACTTGAAAATCGACTTTGGGTTCCGAGCAATTCACACTTGACAGGTTCATTCAATAAAGTGAAAATCCACATAGGTGAATTTAAAATTTTAAGCCAAAAAGTATCCAAATAGCGTAGCTGATTTTTCTACAATCTGGTTATTTTTATGCTTTTAAATTTGAAATTAACGCTGAATGCTCGGTGACTAACCCTAAGTGAATTTACCTTGACAGTCTATTTATTATTATTATTATTGTTTTATTATTTATATAGCGCCAACAAATTCCGTAGCGCTGTATTTATTCCACGCTCCTAAACAAACACGTATACACACAAACACACAACGTTTTCAAATATACACTAAAACAACTACAACATATAAAAGAGCAGACGTACTATGTAGTGAGCACATTTACACTACATTCTCCATATACAATGAGTAATAACAGAGTCCAACAGACACAGAGCACACACAGCCAGCATACAGCATGAACATTTTAAAACAAGGGTTATAACACTCCAAATACTTTGGACTACATGTCCCATAAATAAAATAAATAATAATAAAAAAAATGAAAAAATAAATAAATAAATATATATATATATATATATATATATATATATATATACACACACACACACACACACACACACACACACACACACACACACACACACACACACACAGACACACAGACACACACACACACACACATTGCATCTACACACAGATATACATTTTCATTCATATATAAAACACATTATATACATTATATATATAGCATTTTCAGTATACATACAATAATAATAATAACTGACAGCCTACACAGGGATATTATAATGCACTCCAGATGTTCTGGACTACATTTCCCATGATGCCCCAGAGGTGACATGTACACACAGCCAGGTCACACATGTAGCATGTCCCATGATACTCCACCCTGAGCTCAGCATTCCTCCACCTTACCCTGTAACACAGCCTCGCTGGAGACCAGGGGCCCCAGCCGCTCCTGAGGGCCACATCTCTCCAGCAGCAGCCACCAGGCCAGGCAGCAGCCAGCAGCCGGGATAAACCGGTCTGTGATCACAACAACATGTCAATCATCCAGGCCACGCCCAGGAGAGGGCGGGATCACAGGGCTGCACCCAGCATGCTGTGCGGCAGGAGGCTTCACTGAAAGGAACAGGCAGAGGGGAGGGGGGGGAACAGGTCTTAGTCTGCCATGGGGAGAAATAAAATACTATTAATTAGAGTTATATATGTATATATATATTTTTTTTTATTTTATTTACTTTTATTGATTGGTTAATTAATTTATTTGTTGTAGCTGATATTTTTTTGAGTGCAGGTGACCCAATAAACATATTTCAAGTAATGGAGTGTTTTAAGTATTGTTTTCCAGGTCCTACATCTCTTATTATTCATTATTATTATTATTATTGTATTAGTTATATAGCGCCATCACATTCCGTAGCGCTGTACAATGGGTGTGCAACGCATTAAAAGAGTGCTACCCTGAACAGGCAAAGAAGAAAACTGCTTATGGATTTCTGCTGTATATTAAAGGAACTTTAGATTGTAAGCTCACGGGCTATCTAGCGGGGTACACCTACTGAAAATGTGCAGATAAAAGCCTAGATATCAGCTTACGAGCAGGGCTCTCTCTACCTCTTGTACTTGTTTGTGTATATTGTACGAACTCCATTAATTGTACAGCGCTGCGGAATCTGTTGGCGCTTTGTAAATACCAGTAATAAATAAATAATGTTATGAATAAGTCCATACATACATATCCTGTAAGTTAAATTTCAGAAGCCGATGGCGCCAGGGGGTAACCGAGACCGGTGCTGGAGGCAACTTTCGAGGTTAAACCATTCAAAAAAGGTTTAACACCCTGAAGGTAAAAATGCGTCGGGGGCCTACTGGCACCATAACCATTTGATTTAGATGAAGTGGTTATGGTGCCTTATGATACCTAAACTGTCTCTTTAAGTAGAAGAATAATAAAAATCTATATATTATATATCCAATGTATATATTACTATTAAACCAAATTAAAAATATGATCCTTCGCCTGTCAATCAACTGTCAGTATAGACTTCTATGCCATCATCATTGAGGACTTTGCTGAAAGCTGACTGGCAACAGGGAAGAGCAGGAGAGCCCTCCTATATCTAGTCCTGCTTTCCATCACAGATATTCTTCTCGCATTCACGTCTTGCACTTGCTAGGGCAACAGAGTGACCGATGTCAATCCATTCTAGTGCCAATGCAACGCTATTGAAGCACGCATGTCACCATCATGGAGAAATTACTTAAGAGCAGGGGCGCCCAAAAGTTAGACTCCCAGATGTTTTAAAACTACAGCTTCCATGATGCTTTGCCATTCTACAGGCATGCAAAGCATCATGGGAGGACAACATCTGGGGATCTACCTTCTGGGCACCCCTGCTTTAGAGTTTACTTATAGTGCTATCACTAGAGAGTTTTACTGCATTCAGGTTAGCTTCACAAATCTCTGATTGCTCCACTGTATCTGATGCGCAGGAGAACCAGGAAGGAACCCACTCTCTTACTCCCCGATAAAACCCCAACAATTTGCTTCGACTTGCGTGACGCTGGTGAAAAAATTATAAAGAACTAAAAAACATCATATTTGAACTGGCAGAGGAGTACAAAGTTACCCCTTAGAATATGGTCACCTGTAGGCTGCTGCCTAATTGCAAATCCTACCCTGATGCTTTGAGATATGATCTGCCCTCATTTCCCACCTGAATTCTTCCTGCTGCTATCTCATTAGTCTTAGATTATCAGCAGACACTATTTCCCTTTTGTTTATCACCTCAGGCTATTTACTACTTTGCTTTAGGGTAGCATCTGTTTTTTCCTTGATAAATTTCCCTCGTCCCTGATTGCACCTTATTTAAAGGAGAAAACCTGTTTATTTGCTTTGGAATATCATTGGAATTCTATGTAACAGCTTGCATAAATCAGTCTACACTGGAGAAAGGGGGGGGACACATACTGAAAATGTACAGATAAAAAGCAAACGCTTTAACTCAACTACCCTCTCTCCCAAAAACTAGACTTTTACAAATAATTGGCCCAATTCATCAATACAAAACAGGTGTTATTCTGGGGTTAACTGCTAAATGTTGACAGACAATAGGGAACATTTATCAAAGTGTTCTGTTTTAAAAAGTGGTCTAAAGTACCAAAAGTGGGACAATCACCACGGAAACCAGTGGAACGATTTGTGTGCACCATTTTTTAACACAGAGCACTTCATCCCCCCCATTCTGCCTCATATGTGGTGGTGTCATATTTAAGACTTCGACATGAGAATAGCTCCTGGGTCATCCTTGATTGACATAGACGATATGATGTCATATCCCCGTGCCTCTGTCACTGTGCTGCTTACACTACCATGCATGGCAGTATAAACTATTTAACTGACTACCGCTGCCAACCTTCCCTACAGCACTGGTATTTTTTTTTTATAGTGTGTGTTTGTGTCTGTGCTTGTGTTAGTGTGTTTCTCTACTAGTACATGTCTGTCTGTCTGTGACTGTCTAATGGTGTGTGTGTCTTTATGTGTCAGTACATGACTCTGTGTTTGTGTGTGCTTTAGTGCACCTGTTTATAACTGAGTGTGTCTGTGTGCACCTGTGTTTCTGTGTGTGCATGTCTATGTATATAGGAGTGTGTGTCTTTATGTATGTATCTGTGTGTGCGTGTAGATGCGTATCTTGCAGGTGTTACATACATGGTGGAGTTTGGGAGTGGCCATGGACAGGCTTTGGGGAATCACCAAGTTTTAAACTCGAGCCCTAGGTCTATTTTGAACCTAGCATCGCCCTTTTTTTTTTTGTATGTTACACTAGTAGTAATTTACTTAAAAACCCCATTGTTAGTAAATTCCATAACTGGGCAAATATATTCATTAGTTAGCGCTGTTTTACCATGTTGATTGAGTGCATGTTAAAAATATCGAGCAATGTTTGTTTGTTTTAACAAGGTATATTGTGCCAGCATGGTTACCATAAGGATTTTTATTCACTATTTACCACAGAAATATAATTGTATTCATTATCTGGGTTTTTGATTCTTAAATTGCAAATAGGGAAAATTAGAATGCCCATTATTTCAAATAATTTTACACACAACATTAATATTTGCAGGTTTTTCTTCCCAAGGCGGCTGGTTAAAACATGCGCTCTAAAATAAATAACAGCACAATTGTTTATTTAATTCATGATTTATGGTGCGAGGTAAGTAGAACAGCTAACATTAACTGTAAAGTAAATATGTTTAATAAAAAAAAGATATTGCCAGTCAAGGAAAACAATGACAATATACAGGGTTGGATTTTTTTTGCTCTCAGTTTTTGGAATTGTTTAGTGATTGTTGGCATACATTGATGTAACGCTACTTCCTTTTTCTGTCACATGGCCTCTATTTAGGCAATTCATCTACTCACCTTAACCTGCAAATCAGGCTTTACTTGATATAGATTCAAACTGGTAAACACATATGTACTCTTGTTAATAAATTTTACACTTCCTCTTACTTCTTAATATTAAAAAATAAACTGATAAATGAAAAAACACACACTTCATTTTGTTTTTATTTAAATTACCGGTAGTTCATAATTCTTGTGTGGTTTATGTGCCCTCAATTTTCTTTAAAAAAACAACAACATATAAAAACTAAACAATAAAGTTGCCATTAAATTGTTATACTGTGTGGGTTGGTTTACCTGGGCAGCCGAATAGTGCTACGGAGGCAGAGAGAAAGGAAGCTGAGTCATAGTGATGTCTGGCACCAGAGCCCTAAATTCATGGTTAAATGGACACTATAGTCACCCAGACCACTTCAGCTCAATAAAGTGGTCTGGGTGCCAGGTACCTCAGGTTTTAACCCTTCAGATGTAAACATAGCAGTTTCAGAGAACATTAGGGGCAGCAGCTAGAGGCGCATCTGCGACGCTTGATGCAAACTTCGTATCCAGCATGCAGAACGTCCATAGGAAAGCATTTAAAAATTTGCATTCTGCTCCACTTGGGAGCTGACATCGGCGGGGGAGGAGAGGTCACCAGGGCCGAGGGAGCCCGTCACTGGATTAAGGTAAGCTGCTGAAGGGGCAGGGGACCCTGAGGGTGGGGGCACCCTTAGGGCACTATCGTGTCAGGAAAACCGCTTTGTTTTTCTGACACTATAGTGATCCTTTAAATTGTTGCAAAATGTTTTAATTCCTGAAGGTAGGATAGCCCGGCTATTCCTGCCTCCATAACTACTTAAAGTGGATCTGTCACTTTACGTAAGCTCTTTCGAGCAGGGTCCCCATCAACTTATTGTTCCTGTAACAATTTGTAATTGTCTCATTTATTAGTAAATTTTCCCTTTACATTATTGTAAAACTCTGCGGAATAAGCTGGTGCTTATCCAAAATCTGCAATCCAAGAATACCATATAACATAGTAGGGACCCTTTTAGGATCTACATGCGCAAAAATGCTGCACTGACGTCGATCCTGACAACTCAAATGTCAGGACCTGAAGAGGACCTGCTGGACAAAGAAGGTGGCAGCCATGAGGGATAGCTTGAGCTAAGTAAAACTTACCTCCGCTGCACCCCGCAGCCACAGGACTCCAAAAGTGAGTTTTTATTATTGGTATTTATATAGCGCAAACGTATTCTGTAGCGCTTCAACTCTCTATCCTATACCTCATATTTATATACAGTAAGTCCAGCCACGCTAAGGCTATGGTTGTACTTGCCTCACTGTCTAACCTTGACACCTAAACAGCTCAAAATAGTTAATGTTTCTAAACTGGACAAATATATAATCATGAAATGTTTTGAAACTAAACTTGAAGTCATAATAAAGATAAGTAAAGGAGATACGTTTACTTACCAAAAGTTAATGACTCAAATCTTATTAATATGTCAAGTATAACTATTGATTACCTTTCAGAAATGCCAGATGTTAAAGAAAGCTATGGAATTTGCCAGTTTTTTTTTTTAAAAGAAGAAAACAAATGAAGACAGTTCCCCCAGACAAGAGGGACATGACTTCACAAAAATTACCCCCAATTGAAAATGATTTTTATAGGTAACAGAAAAAAATTAAGTGCACTTTATTAATATTGCT